TTTTTTTACAGCAGCAGAGCCGCCGGACAATAGGAAACTATTGGGCGGAGCTAGCTGTCACTGCTGGCTCTGCACAATCGTTTTTTATTTACTTTTTTTTTACTTTTTTCACTCTTTTTCTGTTCTGCTCGGTACCTCTGAGGGACCGAGCAGAACAGCTTAACCGAATGCCGCTGGGCGGCATTCGGCTATTCACTCACTGCTGTTCGGCATCTTTAAGAATAGCCCGAACAGCAGTGAGTAGCCTGCCGGAGGTTCGGCTCAGCCGATCCAGATGTTGGATCGGCTGAGTCAAACTTGGCTCAGCGGCATTCAGCTATTCACTCACTGCTGTTCGGTATCTATAAGAATAGACCGAACAGCAGCGAGTAGCCTGCTGGAGGTTCGGCTTAGCCGATCCAGATGTTGGATCGGCTGAGTTGAACTACTTCTGCACTTCGGGTTGGCTGAACATGCTGAGCATGTTCGGCCGACCAGAAGCCACGCGAAGCCACCCGATGTATGGCTGATTTCAGCCGACATACGGCTGAAATCAGCCGTACCAGCCTGAAGTGAATAGGCGAACAGTGTTCGGCTCACTTCGCTTTAGGTCGGTCATTCACTCGGCTGCCTACGGCAGCTTAGTGACTAGACCCCTATGACCAAACATTTTAGTCAACTAAATTACCACTGTTGCAATAGTCTTTATTTTTTTTGGTTGCTTGTGCATATGTGGTGAGTAGATTGGCATGCTGCTGCTGCTTGCCTTATGACCTTCCAAAAAGGCAAAGAGGAGAGCCTGAGAAAATATTTTCCACTGGCTGGAAAAAAAAGAGCCGAAGGATCCAGCCGTAGCTGCAGATGATCCTTCAGCACGCTTCGGCATGCTTCAGCTGGTTTAGATAACTGCATGGCATCTTTTTTGTTAACGACTAATCATATTAATTGATGATATAGGTCCTATGGTCAATTTGATTCTGTTAGCGTATTACCTGTATTTATTTAGCCAAGAACCCTGCAGTATTTGTGTCTAAAACTATAAAAAAAATTATCTAAAAGTTTACCTTACCCCCATGTTCTGCATCACTGGGTTTGACAACATCATGCTTCTGGAAGGATTCTGAAAGGAATTGAGAACAGGTAAAATCTCGTGGGATGACACTCCAGTCTATTGCAAGAGTGCCTTCTCACAAGATTTTGGCTGCTCTTCCCCAGCATCTAGCCAGATAAAGTTTGATATCACATCTTCCTAGGCCCTGTGGGCAGAAGAAGGGGAGCAAGGCAACTATAAATCTAGGTTTTTCTTCACAGGTACTTTTAACACCTAATAATACCAGCAGGGTTATTCACTAAATGGTGAAGAGTTAGGAGAAGGCAGGAGAAGTGAACAATCTAGGACAACATAGCTGAACTGGAAAGTGAGCTGAATTGGAGAATTTTTCCAGTTCAGCTATTTTGGCCTAGACTTTTCACTTCTCCTGCCTTCTCCAAACTCTTCACCCTTTTGTGAATAACCCTGCAGGTGTTTATTATAGCAGGAGGAGGCCCGGACAGTATAAGCAGACCTTGCTTTTTACTGCAAGGTCCATGTTAATAGCCTTTAAGAAACACATATTATAAATGCTTTTTTTGAATTGATGCCCTATACTTAAAAATAAAAAGGATATTGAAGTTAAATGAAGTTGTACTCTTTCCTTTGTTTCAGCCAGATATAGAGATTGTATGTTCAAAATATTATTATAGGGGTATTGCATCGCACCTGCATAACAAGCCCCACTTTCACCCAATCCTCCCTCCCTACCTCCTCTACTCAATACTACACCAATGCCGACCTATGCTCTTGCTGCAACTGCAACAACACATGCCTTAGCACTTGCTGCCACTGTACCAATTACACTTTTGTGATCTTCAACACTGCAGCCACCCGCCCTTCTATTTTTTAGCTTGTTCAATAAATGGACATCCTTTTCCTAGTAAAATATATTAGGCCTTTAACTTTGAAATTTAACTTAAATGAACTGAATATGTGCTTATATTTAAGAGCACTTCAAACATGTTCACTTTCTTCAGGTTACATCCATATTAATTTTAAATCAATTTTATTTATTTTAGGCTTAAAAAACAATACGTAAAAAACACATCAGGACATATAACAAATTGAGGCAAATATTATACATTTTGTATGGGTAATAATGTGACTTGAACCCTTTGTTTTTGTAAATAATCACACAGACTGACAAAGTTAATTCATGCCTGGAGCAAACTGATTTCAAACATCTTCCAAGCCAACAATATATTTGATGTAGGTAAAATAGGAAGCCAAGCACTTTTAACCCCACACCAGGCTCACTTGGCAAAGAACAATCTTTCCCATATTTCTCTTGTCTGTGTGGAACACCTTGCTTATTTTTAATAAAGTACCTAAATCCGGCATTGATTGCCTTTGCTTTGAATGACATATAGCCAATATCACACTGCAGAGACCTTACTATAAGCTTTAAAGGATAAGGCTGGTAAAATAGTGATAATATATAGCCTTTCTAAACATCTATTTATTATATAGTTTGAGAGCAACTGCTAATTAAGTTACTGTATGTGAAATATGTATCATATCCTTTAAATATAATAACCTTCGACTGATAAATGACTAAATTACATTTAGAAGTGTTTTATTTTTTTCAGCAGTGGATAATTATTGTTGTGAATGAAAATAGTTTAGTTTCATGGCATATTAACTATATTACAGTAAAACACTTGTCATTATGTTCTATATTTCAAAATTTGTATTAGTTTGTCAGTACATAAACAACACATATAACATAAAACAATATATTGAACTAATGTAGTTTCCGCCCTAGCAGGACATTATGCGTATAGCCACTCTAAAGTCATACATTCAACATAGTATATCAATATACATATACAGATGATGTTAACGGACTGAATAACAATACTATATTAAATAATAATACTATAATATGGTCTTAGAAAGAGTACCGTCTTATGATGGTGTATTTATGGTGGTGATGGTGCATTTCACCTATAATTACTTTAATTTCTACTTTCTCATTCTATTTCTACCCCTTCCAACCAATAAGACACTATGGTTTAGTTTAGTTATATTGTAACATATTTCCCCGTTATTTGATTTTATCCTGTAGTTAATTAATTATCTACAACTGGATTTAGTGGGCAGGTAGTCCCCACTAAGACATATCTACTACATATCCTTAGTTAAATCTAACTCTAAAAATAACATAACAAACACCGGAAAACACATAAAGAAAGAGAAAAAAAAGAAAACCCAGACACAATAGAGAGAAAACAAAAACGCAAAAGAAAAGAAGAAAAAAGACAATGAACCTACAAAAGAGAGACATTTTTTTTAAATAGTTTGGTCAGGGTGGGGTGGGGCCCAAGAACCACTCCTTTTCCCTCATATTGTTATGCAGCCTTCATATTCCAGCCAGGGACCCCAAGTTGACTCAAACTGCGTCATTTTATCCAGGAGAATACTCGCCAATTTTTTGTGCGTCATGATCCAGGACAGCTTAATCTTTACTTGCCTCAAGGACACCCTAGGTGTCTTCCAGGCTTTGGCAATTGTAATTTTAGCTGCCAGGAACATGAAAGTTATCAATCGTGTACAATATCCGGGAACTCCGGGAAGGGTATCATTAAGAAGAGCATATCCGGCGTCTCTAGGAACTCTCACTCCTGTGACCCGAAATATCAGGTTGAACACCCTACCCCAGAATGTGCGGATACGAGGGCATGACCACCATACATGGCACATAGTGCCCCCAAGCTCACACCCCCAGAAGCATAGAGGAGATGATCCCGGATACATGAGAGCAAGTCTGGAGGGCACCAGGTACCACCTGGAAAAAACTTTAAAATTGGCTTCCAACAGTGATACATTAACCAGGCCCCGAGTCGTCACCCTTGAACGACACTTCCATATTTCCTCTGGTACTACCATATTCAAATCTTGTTCCCAAGCCCGCATATATAGCTGCTTAGGGGGAGACTCCAACATTATGGACTACAACAGGGAGATGGCCCCTCTCTGATCAGTAGACTGAAGGCACCATCATTCATATAGACTGAAATCGCCTCCAGAGTCACTTCGTGCTAATATAGTACCTAAAAAGTGAGTAATTTGATAATAATGACAACTCCGATGTTGGCATACCTAGGTACTGCCTGCAGTATTCCAAAGTCAGTGGTCTCCCCCTTTTAAGGTACTGACCTATTGTATATAGTCCTTTGTCCCGCCACCATTGAAATGATTTAAGATGGATACCAGGTGCAAATGCAGGGTTCTGATATAAAGGGGCAAGGGGAGTATGGGCTGAGCTAATATTTCCCTGAGTTTTTTCCATGAGTTTTGTCATTGTGTTCTAATAGCAACTTCGATTATTCAGATTATCAACTCAGATTATTGCATAGTATTGTTACAGTCTGGACACACCTGTCCCCTGAACACAAGCCCAAAAGGAAGATCCAGATTACTTTGTAGTTATTTGAAATACGTAAAGTGACATTAAACCCTCAGATTTTTTAACATAAACCAATACTGTAATGTGTGCCTTACTGTAATCCATGGTAGTTTCCCTTCTCTTTGCTGCTCTTCCTTTTAAATCCTTATCTCTTCTCATGCTGTGGGAGAACTTCCCTTTGCAGCTGAGTGCCTCTTCCTGTAGTGCTGGCTCAGGTTGTGAACCTGCACACAGACACCATGTATCCATTCCAGAGACAAGGCAGTCTGCTGCAAACAAGAAGTTCTGCCCAGCATGAGAAGAGATACGGATTTAAAAGGAAGAGCAGCAAAGAGAAGGGATACAATCATGGATTACAGTAAGGCACACATTACAATATTGTTTTATGTTAAAAAATCTCAGGGTTTAATGTTACTTTAAATGTTCCTATAGTCATCTGGATTGTGTTTGTAAACATACTGACTTCCTGTCTATTGGACAAGGCAAGGTCCTGGGAGGAGCAACAAAGACAGTTGCAGGAATAATATTTGTATACAAAGTGCAGTCCTATTATGGATCTCAAGTAGTGTCAGTACTAGGGACACTCCCATAACCAACAGCCATCCATCTGATTCAGCTATTCAGATTCCAAATGCCAATACCCTAGAAGGTTTAGGCTCCTTTCAGACAGGCATTCTGATAAGGTCTGCCTGTCAGTTATTCAGATGGATCTGATTAAAAGCCCAATGTTTGTTTATGGGCAGCTGAATCTAAATGGATGTGCGTCCACATCCAATTACCCCCAACTCCGTCCAGGTCCTGGAAAATCAAATAGAGAGTTCCTAAAGGTGCCCATACACCTTACAATTATCTGCAGATATTCTGTGGTCAGATGGAAAAAGTGCAACAGATTGGCCCAGGTGGAGATTAAGTGTAGTTAAGTGTAGATGGAAGAATCTGCTGCACCTTTTCCATCTGACCACAGAATATCTGCAGATAATTGTAAGGCTGGGCACACACCTTTCAACCATCGCAAGACTTTTGTCTTGCGATGGTTGTAAGGTCATTTAAAAAACGTACGATCTGCCTATCTTGGACAGGCAGATCATACTTGCGATGATCGCAAGCCCACCCGCTTGCGCACACAGGCCAATGCGGCTTTTCTCTTGCGTACATGCAACAAACCAGCCGAACATCGTACGATGTTTGGCTGGTTTTCGAACGTGTTCCTAAAGTAAAAGTTGTGCGACCTTACAGTAGCAGAGGTCGCACGGCTCCCACACACCTTACGATAATCGTACGATCGTGGGATTTCCCGCGATTATCGCACGATTATCGTAAGGTGTGTGGGCACCTTAAGGTGTGTGGCCAGCTTAAAGAAGAGGCTCAGACAATTTTTTGTCCCCATTATCTTCTTAGGCAGAGATTTCCAAACCATTCTGCACAATTTTGTATCATTTGTGCTGTAAAACAGACTTTTTTGGAGCTTGACTCAGATTTTCTTTGATCTTAATGAGAGAAGCAGATATAAGGCAGAAATGGCATTTGAAGCAGCTTTTGGTCTTTTTTCCCCAGAGGTTTTTTTTGGAAGTCTGAACTACCAAAAAACATTGAAATTCAGATTCACATTAGATCAGTCTACAAAGTTTGGTCTGAATTTAACATCATCTGAAATTTGGTATCAACTCTGATGGCCAGATAATAGTAAAGCTGGCCATACACCTATAGATTATCTGCAGATTTTCTTTGGTCAGATAGAAAAAGTGCCAGATGGTAAAAATACCTAAACAATCTGATCAGATGCAGGCATTGTTCAGGTATTTAGAGAGGCAGCAGGGCCGACTTGCAAGATACTGAAGCTTAGCCCAGTGGGAGATTCCTCCATCCACACAGTTTAGTGTAGATGGAGGAATCTGTTGCACTTTTTCCATTTGACCATAGAAAATGTATGGCCAGCTTTAGTAAGGGAACAGGCTTTCATTTTGACTGTCATGTGAACAAATCCTTCACCCTACACCTTCTGCACCAATTTTTCAGTCAATCTAGGAAAACAATTATTCTTAGCAGTATGGTAGTTTAAGGCAAAATGGGTAGTGTCGTATATCATGGCATACATGACATGCTGACAAAATATACACCAAATGCTAATGTGTGTTAATATATTTAGTGTTAGCAGTTTGTTTTACTGGCAGTGTTTTTATATTTAATTTAATGTAATACTTTTCTACCTTTCTTAAAGCATTGATAATAATATGTTAAAAAATCTCAGGGTTTAATGTTACTTTAAATGTTCCTATAGTCATCTGGATTGTGTTTGTAAACATACTGACTTCCTGTCTATTGGACAAGGCAAGGTCCTGGGAGGAGCAACAAAGACAGTTGCAGGAATAATATTTGTATACAAAGTGCAGTCCTATTATGGATCTCAAGTAGTGTCAGTACTAGGGACACTCCCATAACCAACAGCCATCCATCTGATTCAGCTATTCAGATTCCAAATGCCAATACCCTAGAAGGTTTAGGCTCCTTTCAGACAGGCATTCTGATAAGGTCTGCCTGTCAGTTATTCAGATGGATCTGATTAAAAGCCCAATGTTTGTTTATGGGCAGCTGAATCTAAATGGATGTGCGTCCACATCCAATTACCCCCAACTCCGTCCAGGTCCTGGAAAATCAAATAGAGAGTTCCTAAAGGTGCCCATACACCTTACAATTATCTGCAGATATTCTGTGGTCAGATGGAAAAAGTGCAACAGATTGGCCCAGGTGGAGATTAAGTGTAGTTAAGTGTAGATGGAAGAATCTGCTGCACCTTTTCCATCTGACCACAGAATATCTGCAGATAATTGTAAGGCTGGGCACACACCTTTCAACCATCGCAAGACTTTTGTCTTGCGATGGTTGTAAGGTCATTTAAAAAACGTACGATCTGCCTATCTTGGACAGGCAGATCATACTTGCGATGATCGCAAGCCCACCCGCTTGCGCACACAGGCCAATGCGGCTTTTATCTTGCGTACATGCAACAAACCAGCCGAACATCGTACGATGTTTGGCTGGTTTTCGAACGTGTTCCTAAAGTAAAAGTTGTGCGACCTTACAGTAGCAGAGGTCGCACGGCTCCCACACACCTTACGATAATCGTACGATCGTGGGATTTCCCGCGATTATCGCACGATTATCGTAAGGTGTGTGGGCACCTTAAGGTGTGTGGCCAGCTTAAAGAAGAGGCTCAGACAATTTTTTGTCCCCATTATCTTCTTAGGCAGAGATTTCCAAACCATTCTGCACAATTTTGTATCATTTGTGCTGTAAAACAGACTTTTTTGGAGCTTGACTCAGATTTTCTTTGATCTTAATGAGAGAAGCAGATATAAGGCAGAAATGGCATTTGAAGCAGCTTTTGGTCTTTTTTCCCCAGAGGTTTTTTTTGGAAGTCTGAACTACCAAAAAACATTGAAATTCAGATTCACATTAGATCAGTCTACAAAGTTTGGTCTGAATTTAACATCATCTGAAATTTGGTATCAACTCTGATGGCCAGATAATAGTAAAGCTGGCCATACACCTATAGATTATCTGCAGATTTTCTTTGGTCAGATAGAAAAAGTGCCAGATGGTAAAAATACCTAAACAATCTGATCAGATGCAGGCATTGTTCAGGTATTTAGAGAGGCAGCAGGGCCGACTTGCAAGATACTGAAGCTTAGCCCAGTGGGAGATTCCTCCATCCACACAGTTTAGTGTAGATGGAGGAATCTGTTGCACTTTTTCCATTTGACCATAGAAAATGTATGGCCAGCTTTAGTAAGGGAACAGGCTTTCATTTTGACTGTCATGTGAACAAATCCTTCACCCTACACCTTCTGCACCAATTTTTCAGTCAATCTAGGAAAACAATTATTCTTAGC